ATATATATATATATAAAAGCAATTTGTAAACAATTTACCCTATGCTTCAGAAGCTTCATAAAATATTTGTCCCTTAAATTTAACTAAAGTTAATGTATTTACAAATGGCTGAGGTTGTAGAAAACAACCTTCCAATCTCCTGATAAACAGGAAAGCTGTTATTCTTCATGCATGACAGTGTGGCTGTTACACAGCACTGAGTTATGGAGCATTAAAGCTCAAGGTATTACAACTTTAAAGTTAAATAAAGAAAAGCTATGTTTAAGTAGCATTAGAGGAAAAACTGCATTAAGGATTGTTAAGAGATGGTGCCATCTAGTGGCCATGTGCAGGGTTGTCCTGACTTTAAAGCACCCCTGCAAATTAGGGGTGCAGCTACATAGCACCATAACTCAAAATAAGATATGCAATTTGAGCTATGCAAATTGCATAACTTATTTCAATGCTATTTCAAAATAGCTTATTTCGTCATTTGGTGCTGTCTGCACAGTGCCAGATTTTGAAATCAAGTGCTATTCTGAAACATCCCTTACTCCTCGCAGAATGAGGTTTACAGGGACGTCAGAATAGCAAGCCTGAAATAACGGGCTTGCTGTGAAGATGCAGGATAGCTATTTTGGGATATTCCAGTATCCTGAAATAGCACTGTGGAGTAAACTTAGCCTCAGGATATTAAAGTAGTGGTTAATTAGCTAATCGAATAGTCGATGGAATTTCCATTAATTACTTGATTAGTTGATAAGGGGGGAGGTGCTTGCAGAGCTGCTGCAGGTTAGCTCCTGGGGGTGGCACGAGTTGGGACTGCTGGCTCCAGGACCACTATGGCTCTGCATTTTAAGAGTGGGCTCTTACTACAATTAAAATGTAAAGCTGCAGCGGGGGAGCTCCCAGAACCAGTGCAAGCCGGAACTAAGGATGTTAAGTATCGAGTAATTTACTAGTCGAATAGTCGATGGAGTTGTACATTTCAAAGGAGGAATGCGGAACTCCGCGTGCAGCCCTGGGCAGGCGGGAAGTCCTGCTGACTCCGGGCTGCATATGGGTGCCAGCTTTAAAATGTACAAGAGTTCCTAGCTCACCATGGCGGTGTTTCAAAGGGGCAGCGTCACATGGAGCCCGAGGTCGGCTCCTTGCAGCACTGCTTTGAAATGCCACCTCACCCACCCAGACCCCACACCTAAAGCCTGCTTCCCAGCTGCTGCTCCCCCTCATTTTTGGCTCCACCAGAGATTTGCGGGAGGCCACAAAATCTACTAGTGCAGGCTCCTCTAGACTCTAGTGTGGGAGGACAATGTGGGGAGTGTCTTCCTGCTTTTCAGTTGGGGGCCATGTCAGTGAGCAGCTTTTTTTGTTTGTTTTTTTGCTTCCCACTTTTGTGCGGCCCTTGATGGGTTTTTTCTGTGGGTCAGAGACCTCCAACTCCAAAAATATAATAGCCTGACTACAATAAATTCAAGTAGAGTTACCATTCTTCTGTGACACATATTAGGAAAACAAACTGTAATATCGGTTATAAATTTTCAGGATCTATAGGTTTTAGACCAATTCCTGTTTGAAACCATATTGAGAAGGATATTTCTGAAGGAGAACACATATAATTTCACTAAACTGAAATTTTCAGAAATGTAATCTAGGAAATCTAGGTGATTTACTCTGGCACTATGGAGAGGATTAACTTCAACGTTTCTTTAACAAAACCAAATGTGGTATGAATGCGGACTTTGAAAATAACAAGTAGTCCTGGGGCACTTTAGAGACTAACAAAAATATATAGTATCATGAGATTTCATGGGGAAGACCAATTCATGAGTTGGAGAGGAAATAACAGAACATATATATATATATATGGCTTATATAGATAGATATGTGGACAAAGTTGGTAAGTAATAGGGATGTAAGAAAGTACTCAACTACTTGACTACCTGATAAGCCTAAGCTTATCGAGGAGTCAAGTGGAGTACTCGACTTCTCGCTTCCCCCTGCCCCTTGCTGCCTCTGTGTGGGTATGTCTACACTACAAAGTTAATTCGAACTAACAGATGTTAGTTCGAATTAACTTTGATAGGCGCTACACATGCAAACCGCTAGTTCGAACTTAATTTGAACTAGCGGAGCGCTTAATTCGAACTAGGTAAACCTCATTCCACGAGGACTAA